ATAAGCAAAACTCTGTAATGTGCATTAAGTATTAATTTATGATAATAATGACTAAAAAAAAACTTCACCGTGAGTATTGAATACAAATAAGAGCAAGAAAAATTTCAAAGTGTTCACCATTCAGTAGTATCCTCACTACAAAAGCTTCTAACATAAGAACTGTTCCTTACAAWAATATGAGGTGGACTGCCTTCCTTTCCAATTTTTCTTTTCTTTTCCAATATTTCATCCCTCTTRTTAGATCTCATTTGCTTAGCCTGTAGAAATTGTTAATGTGAAGTCTTAGTTCACCAATGTTGTATAGATAGTTTGGGCTTCTTCAAATTTAATACGATTTTTAGTTTAGTTTAATCAAAGATTCCTTATCACTACTATACCTGATTTCGTCGGTTAATCTTTCCAGTTCCATGTGCTCCACCTTTTCTAGACAAAACTTTTATCGATACTTTTCCTAATAAAAAATACCGAACACTCAATAAACTCACGTAGGCCAATGTTGTTTRTGGACAAGGAAAACATCTCATTTTTACACGCCTTAAGAAGTAAACTTTCAGAAAATATTATAAATATCAAAAGGTTCTACCTTTATTTTGTTTATCCATTGTTCCCTTACTTCTGTGTCTGCCATGTTTGTGAGTTTTATTTTGTTGTTTTAATGGTCCAGGTTTGTGCCTTTCGACCGCCATCTTGGATTATTGCAACACGTGCTGTTCATGCGTAAGACTGCTGTCCCACAGGAATCCCGCTAGTCGAAATTTTGCAGATATCCAAAATTAATCTCAATTTTTAAATACCTTTTCACGGCTTACATATWCCAGTAATAAGCCCAAAAAATCTATGGGGAGCAAAATAGGTTCGTAATATGGTAAGTTTATTACTGTTATTTTTTTCATTTTTGGGTGTTTGGATGCATTTCTGATCTCAGCATCTGGGCTGTATGATTCCTATTGATCCCTCCCACCATCACTGAACCGATACTGAGGTAGTGATTGCGAATGTGACTCTTGTAGTTTCTTTATTGGATAAGATCATGCATTGCTTTGAAATAYAGCCATTTATTCACGTTCATTGCCTACATGACTACATGATAGTAGTTTGATAAATACATCTATAAATAACATGATTTTTTTTGTAAAAGAACGAGAAATATTTATATATATTCACTGATCATGAAGTTTAGTTTAAGAGGCTGAAGAGACAGCCGCGAGTGAAACTGTGAAACACATGAGTTCGTGCCCAGTTTGACTATAAGATTCACTCGAAAAATTCCCTTCCTTGGTCTTGTAATAGAGTACGAACTACATGCCTTCAGTGTTGTTTTCCAGGGTCTAATTGTTGTAGTTCTTGAAATGCGATTAATTAAGCACTACAAAGTAATTTAAATAAATGGAACTATTCCACTCAGGACGATTATGTACACCCTTTCAGGGTGAAAAAACGCTTTACCGTTTAGTGGCCAGTGATTTCTTTGAGCATGCTTATTTGTAGATAGATATGCATTCACTGAAGATAGCGTGCTCATGTCTCTTATATAGGTCGAGCAACATTTTTTATGACCTACTACRGACGTCACAGCGTATGAACTAAATACAAAATATCAAAGCAAAGTGTGTTATACAATTATCATACAGTTCATGGGMCAGCTACCCATTGATATGAAGTATATAGCAGTAGGATTTAATTTAATTTATTAGCTTTGCCCCTAGTATGGGKAGGGACACCGCAACAGCGTGAGCCAATTACTGCGGACCCTGTACTCTCACACTCACTARCTCTACATTAAGTATTTTAGCACACATCACTCCTCACATGTTGATTTTTACTGAGGGAGGAAAACCGGAGGACCCGGAGAAAAACCCTCGTGGCAAGGGAGAGAACAACACATCAAACAAACTCAAACTCACATATGSRCCGTGCCCGGGAATCGAACCCGGACCACAGCGGTGAGAGACCAGCAGCTTAACCACTAGGCCACCCTTGCCACCCTGCTTCAGGATTCAAGTCCACTCATATATTGCGTTGCAATAGTACACACACACTCATAACTCTAGATCTTTCTTGATGTGATTCCTGTTGCTGATGTTGCAGAAAAATAAACGACTCAGTTTCCATTGTCGCACTGCCTTGACGCAGTGTTCAAGCTGTTCCCAGTTTCCGCAATCACCTTTGCGCTTTGTACATCYTGGTGTGAGCGACTTCCAAGAGCTTTAAGAAAAGGAAGAACTTTGGAATACTCCCTGCGAAAATGTCTGTTCATTACACCATAGATTATTGGGTTAATAGCAGTACTACTGTACCCAAAGCAGCTGTAGCTAAGGTATGCCTGTCTTGATAACTTCCAGTCACCATTAACAAAGTCAATAAGATCTATGACAACCACAGGTGTCCAGCAAAACATGAATCCAAGGACTACCACAAGAAGCGTCCAGGTAATGTTCACCTCTTGAACACTGAGTCGTGGGCCTGACAAGTCTTGTTCACCCTTCATCGTGTGCACTCTAAAGTTAGCATTGTGGTGACGAACCCAGAAGAACACTTTGATGTAACAGAAAATTATGATAATCACTGGTATGACCACGTACAATAGAACAAGAAATGCACCATATCCAATCACAAGTGATGCATAGTTATGTGTGCAGAAGACTTTTCCAGGATGAAAGATGAATTCCTCTCCCATGGCGACGTAAGGAAGCGGGGCGAAGAGCGCCGTTACCCACAGAATGATGATTGTTYCTTTAGTTGATTTCATTGTGAAATAGCGGCGATAAACGACATTGGTACGTGTTGTTCTGTAGTATCGGTTCACCGCTGTCAAGGCGAGAGTTTGCAAAGACACGGCACAAAGGAGAAGCACGAAAAAGCCTTGAAGCTGACAGTATAAATGACCAGCTGGCCATCTCCCGAGCGCCGTGGCCGCTGATGAAAATGGAATGCCAAGAAGCGACATCAGCAGGTCGGATACTGAGAGAGTTATGATGTAGAGGTTACATATGTTCTGCCTAAGCCTCGGGTTACGTACCACGGCAGTTAGAACAAGAAGATTCCCAAGAAATGTCGATAAGTTAATGAATATCACAAAAAACGAATCGGTGATGATAGCTCCCAATCCTCGCACTCTCAGCTGCTCTTGTAATCTTTCAAAATTAGTGGTGTTGCTCGTAGAATTCATCGAGAAAAGGTTTTCAGGACTCTAGGAAGTACAACCAGAGTGTATATTGATGTTTCCGTCAAAAATGCTGGCGATTCATTCGGTGAATAAGAGCCCCTTCAACTTTAAAGCGATATTTCATCAACTAAAACTGAACGGAAGGAAGAGGACTCAGTGYGAATTACAACTGCGGAACTTGAAAGCAAAAATTAAAGACTGACATCTATCAATATAGAAAATATTTCAGATTTCACTGTCTCTTTTAGTTCTTAAGATCACTTATTGTGGTTACGTGAACTGATATGAGCTTTCCCTTTTGACTTCGTCTTAAAACTGAGTTTGACTCACGTGATCGCCGGACTTGAGTGGCAAACCCGACAATTAACGGGTTGCGGCGAACATCGGATAGGCTAGGTGTGRTTAGCTTGTCAGGTTTCTCTGCGTCTTTTTTTTCTGTACAAACATAAGTATAGAGAAAATAACACAATGATGTAATTTCCTGATAAACATGCCATATTAATAATGGTTTCGGTACGTTATTATTTCTTGACATACCGCGTTAATATGACGTTGCTTTTCTAGTTAGAAWTGTCAACTGAATGGCTACTTTTAACCATGAAATTGTCATATACATATATGTTAAGATTAAACAATTCATATTTGTTAGAATAGTTTGACAAAGAGAGGCACGTCCWTGTTTGCAGTGAGTAAAGTGGTCGAAGTGCATATTATCAGGTACGAAAACCATTCACCGCCGGTTTCATTATTCCATCTGCACTCGAATATTTCAATATATCAATGGAATGAAATTTACCATGGCCTTTATATCTATTTATTARCATTATTAGATAATAATGTAAGGTTTAAGCATGCATAAATTGTCCTGTACTGACCGATTCCATCATGAGCTGGTTCTATGAATCTTGCTATGAAATTGCATTCCCTGGGTCTTTTTCACTTCATCTTTGACCACATATACAACTACATCGATTTACCAGTATAAATTTGATCTGTTTAAATTAGCACTGAGATACCACACGGGATGTTTCAACATAGATCATGCTGTCGGCATATCAGACGAACAAATGGCAAAAAGGCGATTACTGCCGGATAAAGGCGTCAGAGCATCATCCTAAAACATTGAAAATTACTAGTTAGTGGAGGAATTTAATTTAGGTCAAATTAATAATTAATAAAACTTTTCATTATTATTTCCATTACGACTTTTGCAATCAGCAAGTTATAAAAGATAAATTAGCAGTAAATAGCTGAGAGTAAGAAGACAAGGCGCCAGTCGGCGTGGGGGGCAAATTTGATACCATATGGACCATATGAATGTAAAATGATTCGGTCGAGATATTTTAGACAGATAAAAAGCAAAAACTTGAAGTCCAAGGCAGGTTGTAATCAGCTCTTATGATAATGTCATGCCTGAGGCAGATTTTTTCTCAAAAACAAATTTGAGTTTATTTCCACTCGTAGAAGGCTTCCATCATCACACACTCCAGAAGTCATCCATGTAGTCATCATTCATTAAACTAAAAAGAAAAAAGGAAAACTAAAAAGTATAGGTTACTTAGTTTACTTAGACACATCAACTAGGAAATAACACATTTTCGGCACTATTGATGGCTATAAAGAACAATTATTATTCTGTTGTTTCGATACAATATTGAGCTATGATATGTTCTTGGATCTGCTGAATATATTTGAATATTCAGTGGCGCGAGTAAGGGTACTATGTAGACAGTAAATCGAGCTATCTAATGTCAATCACTTTCCCTGAGTTCCATTCTAAGCTGTCATATCATTGAACTTTTTTCCATAAACTTTCTCTTTTTTATTACCAGTTTTCTTATTCATTTTCTGTCCTTTGCTTTTCACGAGATATTAGCAATAAAAGGATTTATCATTTATACAGATTTTATTGTCTTCGAAGAAATTCGCGAAATGAATGCAGCATCTCGRGATTTACCGAAAAAACATCAAAAATGATTTTAAGTTATTTTTTAAGTAAAAAAAACTTTAAAAACATTCGTGACCTATCAAACAATCTCACTAACTATGTTTGAAGTATATGAGGTAAAACGTCTTGATTTGTTGTTTCTTGGACGTCATAGCGAACATTGAACGTGTTACATCAGTACTTCACGAATTAGTGCGAAAATGTGATAGTGTATGGTTGTCATGGTGATTAACCAATGCAGTACGGAAGGGAAGGTACGTTTGTTGACACTGTAGCTTGAGCAGACAAACATAACCCAGTTTCTAATTAGATCMACATGCGTTCAGACGTTTTTTGGTAGATTGATTGAGGCATAAATCTGATTCCTGAGACTGTACTAATGCATAAGTCTGGAAGTCAAAAGTAAGCGGCGAAAATTATCAAAACTAAATTAACCTTTAATGAAAGTTTCTTAAATTCTCCACAGGAAACCCAAAGTAAGAGAAAGAGTTTTTTTTTTGAAACGCAAACATCTTACGGCATCATAAAGAATTCATTTAAAACTATTATTCAAATCAAACGCAGCTATTTCATTTTATTAATCTGGAGTCTTGTCCGCCTGAAGGTTTCTGTTTTTTGTGGCGGACTCCCTGTCTCCCGCCTTGGACCAGACTCTTTTTATTATGTAAGTAGCTTTTCATGTAATGTTCCTGACTACAAGTGATAAAAGTTCACTAGAACTATAGCCTACGTGTAGTCGATTACTGCATTTGAGTCTKTGAAATGTATAGCAGCAGGTAGTGGGAAAACACCAACAYCAGAAAAGGGCTTTGAAAGTTAAAACCGACTGTTCTAAAAAATAACCAGTCTTTCTTATGGTATAATGGTGGYAACTAGCGGTYAACTAGRGTGAGCTGCGTCGGTGTTTCTAAAGAAACAGTTGCGTAAAAAGATAAATTTAACACTGTAAAAAAAGTTTGTGAAATAACTTACTGACGTTTCGGACGTTAATCCTTCGTCTTTTTACTCCGACGAAACGTCCGAAACGTCAGTAAGTTATCTCACATACTTTTTTTACGGTGTTAAATTTATCTTTTTACACAACTGTTTCTTATGGTATGTAAAATGCGTCAGTATTGCTGGTTTTCAGGTTACGTTACTGCAGCCATCTTGGAGGAARTTTAACAAAGGAMTTCTCATTAGTATCTATTGTTCATTCCGCCAACATGGCCGCCGTCCTTTTGTTGTTTGATAATCTCATGGTATTGATTGAAAAKCAGCAATTGCTATATCTTTACGTCTGAATAGGCGTTCATCAGCCTTGATAAGATAATTGATATAATTGTCCAATTAAGATCAAGAACAATAGATTGCCGTAAACAATAGGTGTAAAGTATCCTATATGCTATATCTTTTAATATTGTTTATGTATCACACCTATTGTTTTACAGAATCCTTTGTTCTCTATTGTATGAAACCTTTTAGGGACGCTAGTCCAGAAGCTGAGCCGGGTTTTTATTTCAACAAAATTGGACTGTTCTCTCACTGACGCCCTATGTGCAGCCCTGTCTTATAGTTCAGTGGGAAATACGGTTGGAAAGAAGCGCAATTTTTTAAAAAAAAGAATGTCTTTTAAAGAGTAGTAAAGGTTAACGTTCTCAAAAGTTTTAATACATCCAGAAAGATCAAAGCCGGGGATCAAAGTAGATAAATCAAGTATAAAAGAGAAAAATCCAGCGCACTCGAAGGCTATAACTACGGCATCGAACGCGCAATATTCTCTTATACCCAATATTATTGTCCAATAATTGTTTGAGCGTCCATCTTTCAATAGTCGTTTGTATAAACAAAGCAATTAAGAAGACAATAAACAATAGATATAATTCATAAGTGGCTTCATTTTGTGCAATAATAAGACCTATTGTAATAGTAAAATGACGTCAGAGGGCGAGGTGTCTTAGCGCGGGTATAAAAACACACGTGGAAACATCGGACGTTACTTGTCAGTTGTTTTCTGCGAGTGAGCGAAACTACAAGTTTTTCTACTTCTATCATTTGAAATCCGAACAAGTAAAAGAATGGAAGCTTCTAATAATTACTATGGTAAGTGGTTGAGGCTMAATTATCGGTGGCATCCATACGTAATGCATAAATTGTCTTGTCAAAGTTTTGTAATTTTGAAGTGTGAAGTTGAACTAACCTACATCTCCTCTTGCTTGGCAGCGTACCCGCTTAAAACTTCCCCTGAGCAGTCAGTACGGATGTTTTTTGTTYCTAATGGATACGGTGGATGCAGTATCAATACTAGTAAAGAAGCGGTATGTATCTGCCTCAGTTTGAATTTTTGAACTACAAGATTTCTTGTTTGTGATTTCGCTTTCCGGCGTACGCGTGTTCATAGTTGGAGTGTAGCTCAGGCTCCCTTGAAATTCGTCTTTATTGTTYCTTTAGTTCAGAATGTGCTTCATGATGTCTTTCTTTAAAAGTTTTCATTCAAACGTCTGAAATCTGGGTTATGTGGAAGCCCTCCAAGAGTAGTCTTGGTTTCTTGAGTAACCCATGCAATTCGAGCGCACCAAGAAACAACAGAAAGGTGTGAACAAAACAGCCTCGTCATAAGTATGCACATTTTCTAATMAATTCTTCTTCTTTCAACAGCATMRCTGCACCTGCATGAGGAAAAAAGAAGTCATAGAATGCAGTACATGTGGAATGACTTTTCTCGGCCGCCGAAGAGCTCAGTGCTCCGTCCATCCAGCGACCATTCATCTGATGGATCTTGCCAATTGTTCAAAATGCGGGGCTGCTCTTTAACAATGGAAAGATAGTACTCTATATTGTATACGGATTTCGGTTATGTATATTCGGTTTTAGTAATGTTAACTTGCGTGTAGATACTATATCCTGTATATAATATTTCGGAGAGCATATGGAGGACGTCGTCTTCCCTCAACTATAGACTTCTGAAGCTTTTACGTCACTACTTAATTTACAATGCATTGTGGTATCATTTTCTAGAAAGAAAAAAAAAATGCCATTTGTTTTGTCCCAAATGTATCCTACCACGCATTGCATATATCTGTTACATGTTGTATAAACTTCAGAGGTCTATTGAATGAGAAAGATGGAAACTTATGCTCTCTAAAATCAGCAAGTGAAGGTATGAATATTCAAGAATGTTTTTTTGCAGTAGCCTTTTTACATCCAGACTTTCAAACTGAACTTTTTAAATCGGTACTTGAGTTGTAAATTAAAGAAAGTATATAAAATCAATATTGTATTGATGAGTATTAGCAAAAAAGGTGAATATATTATAATCTTTGTTGTACATATTGATATTTTGGCATTTGTTCTGTTATTAAAATACTATCAATAATAATGTTTATGTAATTATCCATGAATGATTGTATGTAAATATATTTAGCGAATAAACACAATTTGCATAGTTATTTGTGTATGTTATTTACAGGTAGCGTCACCGGCATGTGCATGAATAGAATGGTTTTGATAAACCGCTCAAAAAAAGGAAAGTTAATGTGCGTAACAGGGAAAACACAATGAAAATGTGTGCCATTAAAGTGAAGTTAGCCTACTTTGCAGATGTTATTAGCATCGGTCATGAGTACGTTCCCTAAACTAGTTAGTGGAAAGAGAACTTATGACTGGTACTAAAGGAACTTYTGACCAATACTAAATACCATCTGCAAAGG